TTTTTTTTGAAAATGTTTTAAAAATTTTTAATTAAAAGTATAATTTATTTGATAAATTTTTTGATTTCTTTTTCACATTAAATTTACTTTATGTGTTTAAAAGCAAAATAATCATGTAAATTTTAACTATAATATATTTTTTAAATGTTTTCTTTCAAAAAATACCCCGGCTCTTTTTTTTTGAACACCACTGTAATTCTATTTGTAAAAAATTTATCTTTGATGCTACAATACCTTTGTGTATTTTTAGAACGAAATTGCATTTATTTCATACATTTTAAATGTTTTATGTATGTATACCAGTATGGTGGTTTACAAAGGTTTACTGTGATAAAAAGTGAAACGCAAAAATCGCAAATTTCTGTTACCAATGCATTTAAGAGCATACCATTCATCAGAGTATATTACATTCCAAGGGAAATAAACTGCTTCAATTATTGGTAAAAGTGTAGAGATGGTTTTTTTAGGTACGATATGCAACGAGATCTTAGCTGCGATGAATGATACATCTATTAAATCAAATACCCGTATCTCTATTTCTTGTTGTCTGCCGCGTTGGTATTTTTGTTTGTTTCTGAATAAATTTTTATCTATTTGAATACCATTTAATTATCTCTAAGGCAAAGTGGATTTTTAGTGAAATGTTTTAAACACTATTTTAGAAGAAGATCGATTGTTTATATAATTGTCTTTCTTTTTACTTTGTCTTTTGATCGTTTCTTTATTTGAGTTTGGTTGTTAAACCATTTATAACATACTTTTAATATGTTACTCAGATATACATTTAAACTTAATAATAGTGACTCGATGTGAATAAAAACATATTTACTATAATTAGCACACTTATTGTTCAAACACCTTAATGCCATCCTATCTCTATTTTTAGAGAATGGCCTCGTTTGCATATTCTGTTGACAAGATACACAATTTATGTAACTTTACAATACGTTTATGGTGCGAAAAAGCTCAATCAAGCTTTCAGTTGGTATGTGTAATAGCGGTTCTAATACACTGTTATACCAATGCTTCATGGGATAAAAATTTTTTGAAAAATATTTTATTATATTTTTCAAGAAATTTTTAAAGTTCATTTATTTCCCACGTGAGGAAAAAAAGGACTTGATCCAAAAACTCTAGTAAATTTACAAAGGTTCAATTCTGATGATGTTTATTTTTATTTAATTTAAAGTTTGAAAAAGATAACTTTTAATACCAAAATCAGATCAAGTGTAAAAATTTCAAAATAAAAAAAAGTGAAAAAATTAATTAAAAAACAAATAAATAAGCTAATTTAATCAAACCTCTATAGTTTCAATGAATCATCTAATGTCTTTTTAAATTTAAATTATTTTTTCGAGTTAATTCATATAAAAGTAGTGTATGTTTAATTCTACAATTCATTTCTGGATTATAATAGCATATTTACAATTGTTCCACACACCTTCGATGTTCTGAGTTTAAACACCGTTATTGTGATTTACGAGCCCTTAGTGTGGTTAAAAGTGAAATATGTAAACCTTAACGCACTACTTTTGAATAAATATGCCCTCAACTGATTCTATGAATTATTGTTTCTGGGGCACAAACTCGTTCTATTATTGGTAGTAGAGTATTAGCAATCTTGTAAGGAACAACATGTAACTATATTTTTGTTTGAGTAAATGAAGAATCAGCTAGTCAAAATACCCAAATCTCTCTTGTTGGTCGTTTACCTCGATGGCATTTTTTTTCATGTCTAAATAAACTTTTGTCTACTTAGACAATAACCATCACCACCAAAACGAATTAAATTTTTAGTTTCATGCTTAAAACATTGATTATGAAATAAATCAATAATTTTAATAATTAATTTTTTACCAATTTTCACCTTAGCACCTATCTGAAGATGATTATGGTTATTTAACCATTTAAAACTACTAATAATATGTTTTCAGAGATACTGTGATGCCTGATAGTAGTAACTTGGTGCGTATTGAAACATACTTGAAAAGGTTATTACAACTTCTATTACAACACCAAAATGCCACACCATCACTATTTCTAGTATATGGTTTTAATTCCATATTTAAAAGACATGTTTCGCACGTTACATACCTTTTGAGTAAACTTTTATACTAAAAAATCTATCAGGTCTTTTACTGGACCACTAACTTATGGTTCAATTACACTACTAAACCAATAAATCATGGGTTAAAAACTATTTTTAAACATTCATTTAGTTTTTTATTTTAATTTTTGCACTTGATCCTGATTATTTTATAGCTTAATTAAATAATAAGCAAATTAAGTTTGGTTTAAATAAAATTTAAGATTCATTTTAAAATATTTAATTCGTTATGAAATCATTATAAAATAATAAATATTTATAAATAATTTAAAAATAATCGGTTATAAGATACTGGTATATCATCTGAACCAGTTACTTTTAATAAAGTTCGATTCTTGATCAGCTCATTTTTTAATTTTTTTTAACTTTAAATAATTTTGATTAAATTTATTATAAATTAAATCTAGTTTGTATAAAAAAATAATTATTTTGAAATATTCAATTCTTATAAAATTTATTATTTAATTTGTATATTTAATTATAAATACTTTTGTTAGACATTTTAATAATTTTTCAATTTATTTCGTTATCTTTATTCATCCTATTACTTTCGATGGGTTGAAATATTAGAAATAATTTTTAAAAAAATATTATGTGGTAAACTTTAGAAAATTACGACAATAAATGTTTTAGAAAATTATTTAATAGTCAATAAATAGCTACTGGTTGAACCTAAAAACCAGCTAATTTTTATAAAGTTCAATTTACAATTAGTTTATTTTTTTTAAAGAAATTTTTTAACTTAAAATAGTTATGATTAAATTGATTATAAATATACTTTATTTAGACAAAAAGATAATTGTTTTTAAATATTTTATTCTAATTAAATTTATTATGAGATATTTAAATTTAAATAATTTGAAAATTTTTATAATATCTTTTTATAAGCAACTGGTTGAATATAAAAGCTGGTTACTTTTAACAAAGTTCAATTTCTTATAAGTTCATTTTTTGAACTTACCTTTTGAATTTAAATAGTTTTAATTAAATTTATTATAAATTAATTTAGTTTATACAAAAAGATAATTTTCTTGAAATATTCTATTTTTTTTAACTTATTATTTTATTTGTATATTTACATTTATATATTTTAAAAATTTTAATATACTCTCAATAGTCCACTAGTTGTTATTCAAAACTGGTTACTTTTAATAATTTTCGATTCCCGATTAGCACATTTCTTAAACTTGCCTTTTAACTTTAAATAATTTCAATAAAATTAATCATGAATTAAGTCTGGTTTAAACTAAAAGATAATATTCTTAAAATATTCTATACTCATTATATTTATTATTAAATTATTTTATTTAAATTTAAATGTTTTAGAGTAAAGTAAGTGATGAAGGCAGTAGTGTACTGGTTGAATATCAAAAGTGGTTACCTTTATAAAAGTTCGATTTCTTATTAACCAATTTTTTAAACATGCCTTTTAACTTAAAATAATTTTAATTTTATAAATTATAAATTAAGAATGGTTTAGATAAAAAACGAGTTTATTTTAAAACATTCAGTATTTCTTAATTTTATTATAGGGTTTTTTGATCAAAAAGTAAGTCTTTACAATCAAGTGTAAAGATTTTGCGATCAAATGTAAATTTAATAACTAAACTAGTTAAAAATAGAATAAATTACAACTATTTTTTAAAACTCAAAAACAAGTTAGTAAAAAATAAAATATTTTACAATAAATCTAAATTTTTTTAAAGAACTTTTAGCTTTTTTATTCCTTATAATGTTAAAAAGACATGATTAAACAGACAAAAATGAGAAAGAAGCAAGATATGAAGAAGTAGACGGGTATGAGGAAGTATGAAGGCATCAAAATAATTATCTCTTTCTAAAGGCAGGTCTAAAACTATAAAATTTTTTTAGATAGAGAGAGGATGAGAACAAAAGTTCTTCAAGGGTTGTCTTATAAAGACATTTCAACTGCACTGGACATAAATTGTAATATATTATTTAAAAATTTTTGAAGTTTTTTTAAACAGGTAATGTATATTCAAAACCATGTGGTAGAGACAGGCATTCTGAACTTACATTAGAATAGAAACAAAGAGTTGTTGCCTGGCTTGATTCTGGTGCTATGCTAAGACTTAAGGATTTAGTTAACAAAGTTAACGAAACATTTAATGTGTCTTAAGTACATTTGATTGCTGTCTTAGACAATTTCATTATACCCTTAAACAAGTTACCATTGTTCCTAAATGAAGAAATTGTGAAAGAACAATTAGCAAGGGTTTGTATATGCTAGAAGGTTTAAAGAACTTAAAGAAAATAATGAAGATAGGAACTTTGTGTTGTTGGATGAAGTTAGTTTTGCAATTTCAACAAGAGCAAAAAGATGACGTTTGTTCAAAAATACTTCTGCCTTTATCACTGTTCCTGTAGCAAGAACAAAAAACATTTTTGTTTTTGCTGCAATGAATAAATATGGCATGGTATACCATTAAATTCACGACAAGGCTAGTTATGGTAAAAATTTTAAAACCTGTCTTATCGACTAAAAAAGTGTTTGTAATTCACTTAAAATAAGTGATCCCGTCTTCATATTAGATAGTGTCAGAATACACCATTACTCAGGTATATAAAGTATGATTTAATCGTTAAATTTAAACCTTAATATCTTCCTGCTTCTTCACCATTTCTTAATCATATAGAAAACTGCCTTTTAATATGGAAAAATTGTCTGATAAACATGGAGGCTGCCATTAAGACTCAATTAAAAATTTCATTGTTTTTTTCTTTAATGAAGTTACACCTTTTAATTGTTATTCTTTCTACAGGAATATGCTTAATTGTATTAATAGATCAGATAACAGCGAAGTAATTCTAAAATTTTTTTTGTTATTTTTTTCGTTAATATTAGTTTTAGAAATTTACATTTAGTTACAAATATTTTACACTTGATTGCAAAAGTTATACAAGTTGTTGCAAAATATTTTACTTTTAACTAGTTTATTTTTTGAGTTTTACATTTGATTGAAAAATCTTTACAATTGATTGCAATGACCTACTTTTTGATTGAAAAACCTTATATTTAATTATTGTATTTTAAATTTAAATATTTTAAAAAATAATAAAAAAGCGACTCAATCGTTCTCTGGTTAAACAACTAAACCAGTCACTTTTATTTAAGATCGATTTTTGATAAGTATACTTTTTTTAACTTTATTTTTAACTTTAAATAATTTTAATTTTATAAATAATAAATTAAAAATTAAGACTGGTTTATAGAAAAAGATATTCATTTTTATAAATATTAATTCTCATTTAATTTATTATGTGATTATTATGTCTAAATATAAATATTTTATAAAATAATAAAATATCTAGCATAATTGAGACTGATTAAATTCAAAACTGGTTACTTTTAATAAAGTTCGATTTTATGTTAGTTCATTTTAAAACTTTTCTTTTAATTTTAAACAATTTTAATCAAATTGGTTATGAATTAAGTATGGTTTAAATAAAAAACTAGTTTATTTTTAAACATCCAGTTTTAATTAAATTTATTATCTAATTTGTATATTTTTATTTAAATATTTTAGAATAAAATAATATAAACGAAGAATGGTATATGGTCAAATTTAAAGCCAGTTACTTTTAATAAAGTTCGATTCTTGATTAATTTACTTTTTTACATTTGTCTTTTAATTTTAAATAGTTTAATAAAATTTATCATGAATTAAGACTTTGTTAGATAAAAAATGATAATTATTTTATAATATTCTGTTCTCATTGAATTATTGTTTTTTAAAATATTTAAATTTATATATTTTATGTAAAATAAAATAAGATGCTAATTGAGATTGGTTAAATTCAAAGCCATTTACTTTTAATGAAGTTCGATTCTCGATTAGTTTACTTTTTTTTAAACTTACCTTTTAATTTTAAATATTTTATAATTAAATCAACAAATGTAAAAAAATTGTTAATTGGTGGTACACTTAAATTTAAAGTAAAACCTATAAAATGTTTTACAAAAAATTTATTCAATAACATTAATAAATTGTTAATAGAAATATTAAGAAACAAATATTTAACAAAGATATAGCGCAGTCACTGGGAGAAGGTGTAATTATAGAACAAAAAACATTCGATAGTAAGATAAAATTAAAATTACTTTATAAACTTCAATTTTTACTAAATTTTTTTAATTCAAATTAATAATTAAAGATTTATAGTTCTTTTCAAAAAATTATTTAAATTTTTAATATTAATTATTTTATTTTATTATAAAATGAGTTCTAAATGTTTAATTAAATAATTCAAGTGAAGCTTAAACCCTTTTAATTATTGAATAAAAATTTTTTTAAATGATTATAAATTAAACACTTTATATTGTTAAACCTTATAAATTGGTTTATTTATAATCATTTAAAAAAATTAAAAATGTATTTAAATTTATACTAAATAAAGTAATTAAAATTTCAATCAAGTCATTATGATTATAAGTAACATAAAAACTAAAAGACTTGTGATTAATTAAAACGATAAAATATTTAATATTTAAAAAAGTTTTATAATATATTTTCTAATCTGTTTTATCTATTGTGGATAAATTTATTTGTTATCTTTTAATTTAGTATTTATTAAATTTTTGAGTTTTTTGAATTTATTTAAGTTTTTTTTATATTTACCATTCTAATTGTTTTTAATGTAAGTTTTAAAATTGAACACACTTACAATATTCTATATAACCGAGATACTTAGTAAGTATTGACACATAAATATAACAATTAAACTAAAAATTACTCTTAAATTTATTCACAACAAAAATTTTTTATTATCATCTTTTTTCTTTACATCTTGGTAATTTATGGGGACATTTTAAAATTTGTAATAAATAAATTATACTATAAAATTTGAATTATACTTAAAGCAAACCTCTCTTTTTTTATTATTATTACTTCTTTTTGAAATTTTCTCATAATAATCATTTATAAATACCATTTCATTTATATATTATTTATAAAACAGTTTCTAATTATAATTTTTGACAGTAGATTTTACAAATAATAAACCATTCTTTAACAGATATTATATTAACAAATATAAATGATATTTTCAATATAATAATTTTTTAAAAATTTCTTTTTTAACCTTAAAAAGAAATATTAATACAATCTGTTTTATAGATAAGACAGAATGACAATTTTTTATTTAATAATATAAGCTAATTATAAATTTAAACACTTTGATGTTTAATTATATTTCTCTGGATAAAAAATTTAAATAGTCTCTCATCAAAGAGATAAAGATTTTAGTGATTTAATGTGTAAAAAAACAGTCTTTAAAATAATGATAAAAAAATTTTGTTAATTTTAAGTGATTTATTCATTGAATATTATAAGCTAACAAAAAATAGATATTTATGTATAAAATTATTTCTCAAAAATCTTTAGAGTTTTTTTAATAAAAAATCAATCAAAGAAATTTTTAATACCAAAAGTTTCATTCACATTCATCCGTTTATGTTACTAGTAGAGTCGTCATTGAAAATGATATTTCTCATTTAAAGATAAAAAGGTTTCAAAATATAAATTTTCAAAAAGGTAAATTTATTATTATGAGAAAATTAAAAAAAATATGTAAAGAATATTTTCGGTAGAGGGTACCAGTATTTTATATATTTTTTAATTAAAACAGTTTTGTTAAGTTAAAAATTAAATCAAAATGTTTTAAAAACTGTCGCAAGCAACTTAGCGCTTAGACCTTAAAAAGTACTTAATAAGTTTTTTTAATATTCTTTTTAATATTTTAATAAATATTTCATCTGTTTTTAATCTATTAAATTAAAGATATGAGTAAAGAAAACAATTTAACAGCAATTTACTAGTAGCAAGAATCTAATACAAAACTGGTTTGTATCTAATAAACAATAATTCAAGTATTAATAATTCATTTCATCTAGTAAGTTTCATGGCAAAAAAATTTAATTTCTTTAACGTTAAGATGTGAAATATAATTTCATTAAGCTAAACTGTTGTAAAAAATTCTTTAATTAATTTAATAAGTCTTCATTATGTTTTAATAATTTATTATATTATACTTTTAAGCTCAATGTAAAATTCGTCTTTTTTTCAAAAAAAACTAGTAATTTTATAAGAGAATTTCCTCATCTATAAAAAGATTATTTTTATCATTATTATAGATTTTTAAACTTTATTTTTTAATAAATTTATCAAAAAGATAAAAATTTTATAGTTTATATGAATGATTGTATTTAATTATATATTTTAACTCGATTTTTAATATTTCTAAAAAATTTCTTGTTTAACTTAAATATTTTATTATTTATAAAACTAATAAAACATTACTTCCCGATTTAAAAAAAATTAGGTTTAATTTTATATAGTTCGATTCTCAATTTTTTTATAAAAATTTAATATTCAACATTCAATATTTTAAATTTAATAAATTATAAGTGGTTTTAAAATCCGATGTATATTTTAATGGTGTTAAATTACTGATAATATGTTTTTAGTCTTTTTATTTAATTAAAATATTCTTAGTAAATATGTTCGAAATTTATAGTCTATAAAAACAGGTTTTAATTTTATAAAATTAAATTCTTAATTATTTTATTTTTAAAAATTTTGATTAAATTTAAAATATTTTATGATTAAATAAATGATAAAAAAAAGACTCTCAGGTTATATAAATTTAATAAAAATTTTATTTTAAATATCTTTTAGTATTATTAAACATGAAAATCAAAGTCAGTTTCAAAAAAAAACAGACTATGATTTTTAAAACGTTCGATTTTCTTTACAGATATTTTCTAACAATTTTATAATTTATTTTAAATAATTCAAATTTTTATTAAATAATTTCAAACTCAACTTAGTTTTAAGAAAAAATTTTAAGAAAAGATTTTAATTATTTTTTAATTTTTATTGATAAAATTGACTTAAAGTTTATAAAAATTATTATTAATTTTTGTAGAGTTGATTTACGTAAAAAATTTTTATATTGTGTTATTTTAACAAATTTCTTATTTAAAAAAATAATATTATCATTTTGTTTATTGTCACTAATATTTTTATAAATTGAATAACAAACTAATATGATAAATTTAATTATCAGTTAATTAAAACAAAAATAAAATAAATCCAATCTAATACATTTTTAATTAAGTCTTTATAAATATTAGTTATTAAAAATAACATATAAATTTTAATTTTGGTTTTACTTATTGCTTTTGATAATAAAACTCAAAAAAACGACTAATCATAATTATTCATTGTACAACTCTTTTAAATTATTTAAAAAATATTACTATTAAAACTTATATCAATTTTATTTTTATTTTTACTGATAATTTCGTTTATTATTATAAAGTGATAAAAAATATTTTTAGTAGGTGAAACTCTACAATTTTTTAATTATAAATATAACTGATTTAGTAAAATAAAATTTTAATTATATTTTACTTAAAATATTTTTATAATAAATTAATATAATTAACCTTAGATTCAAATATTAAATAGATGATTTTTAAACTTTGATTCAATTCTCTAATCATATTTATTGTTATTTGTTAATTTTTTTTAAAAGTTTTTTCTGTTATATTTTTTATTTAATGTGGTTGCCTCTGTACATTATTTAATAATTTATTTTTAAAAAATGTTTTTAGATCAAATTTAATTCTTAAAAAATTTTGAGTTTAAAAATGTTCTATTTATTTAACTCTTAATTTTATTAATTATAACAAATAGTAAAGAATTAAGCAAATTAAACATATAATTATTTAGACACTTTATTCTATTAGGTAGGATCTTACTTAATTTAAACAATAGTTAGCAATTATAATTTAATTTATCAAGTCATATTTTTTCTTAAAGAATTTTTAAAATCTTTAAATTTGTTTTTATATTATTCTTTTAAAAAAAATTTTTTAACAAAGTAACATAAAAGATTACTAATAAAGCATTAAAATTAGGCAATATTTTTTAAAAAAATTAACTTTTCATAGAAATTTATATATTTTTTAAAAATTTATTGTAATTTAATTTTTGTTTTTAATCATAAAGTTAATTTTCAAGTTTGACTCCTGATTTCATTCTTTGCTTTAGGATTATTTGTTTTATTTTTAGACTTAATAAATTTAATAAAAATTAAATACTATTTGTATAATATTTAGATAAATATTCAAACTGATAATTTTTGTGTATAATATTATATAAATATAATAAGAAAATATTCTAAAAGTTAATTGTAGAATAAATTGTATAAGTAATAAGAATGAGACTCTTTAATTACAATTACTTTTTTAAAGTTATTTTTGTAAATATGAATAATGGAGATTGAATGTATATGACTTTAAGGACAGTTTTATTAGATTTAATTTATATTATTACATTTTATTATTTTTTATAAATCTATAGTAAAACTAGTAGTGACGTAGCAAAAAGTTTATTCAAACTGTTTTCATCATCTAGTTATAATTTATGTTATAAGAGACTAAACCGTTATAGTGATTTTGTTGATCATATTATTGTCTATTTTTTAAATCTATTTTGTAAAGACTTTACAATAATATGATCAACAAAAATCATCTCATGTAAAAAAATTACCTCAAATGAAATTCATCCCTTTTTCTATTTTAAAATTACTTCAAGACTGATGATTTAATCTAATTTTACTTCTTTTTATCTAATTTTCAATAATTCAGAATTTTAAATTAAAATCTAATTATTTTAAAATCTAACAATAAATTGATTTCCAGTTTACAAAAAATTTTGATTTCATTTTGAAACAGTTTTATTTTAATATTTTAAATAAAATTTCGATTCAGCTTTCAATATTGTATGATTCATGTAAATATCTAAACAATTACTTACTGTTATACTTAAAATTGGTTGTAATTTCTACTGTATTATTCTTAATTAGCTTATTTTCTTTAATTTTCAGACTTTACTTAAATATTTTATAATTTATTTATTTAATTAATATTGGGCATGAAGTTTTGAAAAAAAGATGGCTTATTTTTAAACTGATCGATTTTAATAATACATTTTATGAATAAAAAATTTTAAAACTAAGTTCGAC